TCACGAGTGGCTGCATGGGAGAAAAGACCTATGCTCGGTTCCCAGAGACTTCAGCTTAGAAAATGCTTCTGGGGCGGCCTATTAGGGCAGCCTGAGTCAGAATCGACGCTATAGCACTCATCAACCAAAACTGTACTTGGTGATCTGATGGCCTAAATTTCTATCTAGGTTTTACATTCATATCAATAATTGAGTTAGTTGTTTTAGGGATATTATCTATAACAATGAGATAAAATTAAATGGGCAGAGTTAATGTCCAAATGAATGAATCACTTCTGAGAGAAAAATTACATGCAAAAGCAGGTAACTGAAATGAAAATTTCTGACATTTAATAATTCATGTGACAAACCTTAGCCATATAAAAATATGCAGATCATATGCAAGATTCATGAGAAGTTTCCAAAGACAAAGTGTATTTAACAGGTGGGTGTTAAGAAATTAATGGAATTAAAAGGTAATGGAATTTCTCCACAAACGTTTTGAAGCTCTCTCATATATTAACAGAGGTCTTGCAATAAGTGTTTCCAGAAGTCACTACCTCAGATTAAAAAAGGTCCTCGTAGACCAGTGGCTAACGCCCTCTTAGCTGCTAACTGAAACATAGTCTGATCGGCCAATTCAAGATCAAACCCACCAGCCGTTCCACAGGAGAAAGATGAGGCAGTCTGCTTACATCAAGATTTATAGCCTCGGAAACCCTACTGGCCAGTTCGACTCTGCCCTCTAGGGCTGCTATGAGTTGGAAGACTCCACAGCAGTGGGTTTGGATTTTCTGACCTGGACAAGGAGATGAACTAAGTACATAACCTAACGAACTAAACACATAGAATACATAGCTTATTAACTATTTAATTACAGAAAAGAAAACATGGAAAGCTATTATAGAAGTTACATAGAAAAATACATTTTTAGTTCTAATGAATATAAATGTAAAATCTTAATAAGGTGAATTAAAAAATTAATAGCAGTAAAAAATCAATACTCTCCCTGCTGTCATTTTAAGCAATAATACAAAGAGTTAACATCTGTAAAAACGAGCAGACTCACAGGCTTCACGCGAGGAACCTCGGAGATGATTGAAGGCCCAGGAAAGAGGTGGGCTTTGTCCAAGCCACACAATCAAGGCAATGTAGTGTTAACTTTTGAACAAGATATCGTGGCTTACATTACATTTACCACCACTTTTTTCCCCTGAGAACATAAAGAGTACTGCCACCCCCCCCAGAAAGATCATTTAAATAAGTCTACCTGTCATAAACCATTTCAAGACCTATGTTTTACATAAATAACTCTTTTAAAGAGTGTTTAGGGTTCTATGTATTTAATTCCTAAAAAAGATTCTATACATACACCTAAAGTTGCATCTTTAAAAATACCTAGAAATTGAGGGTACAGGTATTAAAAGAAAAATGTGAACTCTTCCATTAAATGTAATCCATACACATTTTAAAGAATGTTTTACAAATGCTTACAAATGAGCCTGTATTATGGAAGCCAGTCTTTTTGTGAAATTCCAGCTTCTAATCCCATTTCCCTCTCCAGTCTTTCTTTCTCAAGCCAATAAAAACCCGGAAGGGCTGCAATGGACCCAAAGTGGTGCCAAGGAGCTGTGCTCATCTCCATCAGACCTCTGTGTGGTCATCCAGAAGCACTTGCTAGTTAAGGAAGTGCTCTGTTTGGACGCGACAGGGACTAGAATTCTGTGTGCCAGGCAGCTTTTAGCTGGGATGGGAGTAAAATGCTGACAGATAGAGCTCATCATTTCAGAGAAGGGCCTATACAAAGAATATTTCCTTTCTCACAAAACTAGACTTCTACTTTGAACAGAAATATTTCATTATTAAAGTTACTGTGCCTATTTTTTGTTCAAGATACCAAAATCTCTTTTGGGGAGACATTCTATATTTTGAAGTTATTGAAAGAAGCCATAGTGGTCCGCTAGAATTGTTGCCTTCCATGTGGGAGACTTGGGTTTGATTTTCAGCCAATGAACCTTGTGTACAGCAACACTTGTCTGTCAGTGGAGTCCTGCATGTTGCTCTGTTGTTGAACATGTTTTAGCAGTTTCCAGACGAAGACCGGCCTGGCAATTTATTTCAAAAAACTGGGCAATAAAAACCCTATAAGGTCACAACAGCAGACCACATTCTGTTTTACCCGGAGTCACCGTGAGTTAGGGGGTGGACTCAATAGCAGCTAACAAGAGTAAAACAATTTGATTTCCTTAACACAATTTTTTAAACTCATGTGTAAGTTTATTAAAAGAATCAAGTAAAAATGTTTTAAAATAAGATTCTTCTGTATCTAACGTTGTTTTCACTTTTCTCCACTAAGAAAAAAGCAAATGATTTTTTAAAAATCTTAGTAACTACCTTTGAAAGTTGAACTAGTTCTTCCTTAGTTACGCAAAATAAGATTGAACTTTGTCTCTGACACATACAAACTTTATTTCAATATTTACGATACTATATTTGCCTGTTCTATTTGTTCGTGAAGAACAATTTAAGACTTTTCCGAAGCCTTATCATTATTTCCATGCATACACTTGCCTACTTTTAATTTACAGGCATCAACATGGGTCAACATGGCTTTCTCCACCTTCCATCCAACCACTCAAGTCAGATACCTGGGAGTCATCCCAGTCTCCACCTCCTCCTTCTGATGGATTCTTCCTCTTATCTCTTTCCATCCTCTTCCTCTCCGTCCGGTTCTCTCCAGTAACGCTGCCACTCCTGAGCTGAGGCTCCCTCACTCATTTCAATTACAATGGCACTTTCTCTTGAGTTTCCCTATTTGTGACACAGCCCAATTCCTCCACTATGTTGTCAGATTAATTTTTCTAAAAGGAATTTTTGTCATTCCCTTTCTTTAGAACCTACTTAAATTCCCCAAAGATCAGGATAAAAGCCCAATTTTCTTGGCAGAGCACATCAAATCTGGATCTTCTCCAACCTTTTTCTCCTGCCCCTTCCCCACAGGCAGCTTAGGATGGAACCACATGGGACTGCGTCTAGTCCTCCGCACAGAACACTCATCAATAAAAGCACATCAGGAGGAAAATTTGAAGAGCGGCAAGTAGAAAGCCATGATATCAAATCACTCCTACAAATACTGTCTATTTACTCTTCCTCTGATTTTATGACTTAATTCTTTCATTGTACTTCCCACCAGGATGGCAGTGTCACTTTATTTCAATGGGAAAAGTATGGATTAGAGCTCAAAGATGAATAAGCTTTTAAAATAAGGGCTTGTAAGTTAACAGGTAAGATCATAATGAAATACAACTATGTGAAATGCAGCTGTCATAAATTCTACTATATCTGAAAACATTAACATCATTAAAAGTTAATACTGAATCAGGGTAAGCCAAGTGATGTTACAAGTCTACTACACTTTTTGGTTTACCGAGTTTAGAGAAAGATATATAAAGACAGGAAATATTGAAGAAAAGCATCTGCACATTAAATTACTTTTTTGTGGCATCACATATCTTCAATTATTTTATTAACATTGATAATGCTATAAGCTACTGATACATGCACCAGCATAGAGTTTTCAAACACTCATGACGACTACTGAATCTAGTAAGAAAATCAAAGATGTGTCTTTAACATATTCTTTAAACTCTATTACCTTGAAAGTATTTTAAGACATGCCTTTTAAACAGTTAACAAAGCATTAATGATCTTCAATTCTACTTCAGTATGTCTTGTCAAAGTCAGATGCACTTGAATAACAGTTGAATTTCTATGTATCCCTAAAGGACAGAACAGAACTGCTCCACAGAGTTTATGACAGTGGGTCTCGACCTTCCTAATGCTGTAACACAATACAGTTCCTCATGTTGTGGTACCCCCCAACCACAAAATTATTTTCATTGCTACTTCATAACTGTAATTTTGCTACTGTTAAAAATTGGGTGACTCCCAAAGGGGTCTCGACCCATGTTGAGAACCGCTGGTTTACGAAGCTGTAAATCTTAACAGAAGCAGACTGCCTCATCTTTCTCTGAGAGTGGCTGGTGGGTTCTAACGAACGGCTCACCTGTGAGCAGTCCAATGATTAAGCCACTACATCACCATGACTGCTTTAAATTCACCAGAACTCTAAAATTAAAACTCTATTAATGATCCATCTTCACTCATGACTAGGTTAAAACGTTCCCGTCATCTGCCATAGTCGCATTTTGACACTTCACGTAACAGTGTTTCCTCAAATCCTTTCTCTTTGAATACTATGCCATTTAAAAAAATAATAATAACTTGTGTTGTAAAAAAGATGTGATACTGAATTAAATACCTATAACAATACTATCCGTACTCGATGGTTGACTAATAAGTATTTATGAGAAAGTACTGATCACCAGGTTGAAATAATTTGTAGCAATGAGTTTGTATATAATTTCCCCAAATCTCAGGTATTTCATTGGCAATAATAGTCTACAGCATTTTCTCATGTCAGCTGAACTATTAAGAGCTTATATATGAGGGAGCTTCCAAAAATTCATGGGAAAATGGAATGAAAATAGAACCTCTCTATGAACTTTTTAAGTCCCCTTGTCTATCTATATATTTAGATAAATAAACATTGTGACAAGAAAAACCTAGTATGATGTCTTTGCTCTTAGAAGCTATCTTATCTTTCCTGAAAGTACATTTTTATATGTCAAAATAACATTTGGAGCTAGAGTGAAGGATAGCAGGAAGAAAAGAAGCAAATTTATTGTGGGACAGGCAGACAGATATGAGTGAGAAGGGGCTACTGCTTTCCGGCTGCTTTGAAAATACTGCCTGGAAATTTCTGATATTTCCTTTTAAAAAATGCAGTGGCTCAAAGACATATGACAAACATTATTAGTTAACAGTTTTTAATATGAGCCTAATATTTTATTTGTAAAACCAATTTAGTCATTTGCTTAGGCCCTAATACTCAAATTCCTATAAACAACATTCATCACAGTGGGACTAGAAAAATTGAAACACTGGTATGTGCTACTTACATTCCAAATCGCAGTGTTCCTGATACATATGTTTGCCAGTGTGCACAATAGAACATGAATGTCCCAGCAAAACAGCAGAAAAACATCCAGTCAGGGTTTGTCCCCAGTTGCACCGCAATGCAGGTTCCAAGAACCACAAAAACTGCAGAGAAAAGAGCACACTGAACAGAAGAATCTGCACAGCGCATTTAACTGAACTACAAACGGTTTTAGATGAGAAGTATACTGTGAGCATACAATCTGTTCCCAGCTATTTACAACAACAGGAAAGTAGATACAATCCTAACATCATCTCTTTCCTACATTTTAATCTCTTCTTTCATGAAAACACTTGGTTGGAATCAAAGTTCTTTAAAGCAACTAAAATACTTTAACATGCTTTAGAGTATTTTCCCAACTTAGTGATAAGGCAGTAAAAGTTAAAAGGCATGAGGAAATACAAACAAAGGCAGGGATAATCCTACTCACTTCTAAATGATAGCCGTTTGTTTCTGATTTAGCAGATGGTGTGAGATTCACACTACAGTGCAAATATGACTGCCCTTTAACATAAAAAATAGGTTACTTGCCGCTCTATATTCACCTAGTTATAAATTATAGCAGCTTTTAAAAACACTAAGCCAGCTTTCACTCAGTGGAGGTTTTGTGGTTTCCTTGACTTGTGTCAGAGCTTAGCTGCTCCTCTTCTACTAAGCTGGCTGCTGTCTGGATATTGAGACAGTGGTTTTAAAATGCACCGCCTATACCTGTAAATCTGGATTCAAGGTAAACCAATCAAAGGGTTTTGCTTCATTCTAAATCTTTTAAATGGTATACCAAATTATAAGAAAACAATTGAAGAACTAAATCAGGTGAAGCTTCTGTCAAGAAAACTAGTGAGAAATTATCATTTAATTTCTAAATATCTTTGTCCTATAAAATATACCAAACTATTATATTTAAAATGTGCCAAATACTGAAAGTAAACAGGTTGCCAAACTATAGTCAACTCATCTACTGTCAGCACTTTTGTGTAGCGTTTAAACGTTTAAATTTCAAAGTCTTTTTTAGTCAAGCACATATCAGTTATCTATTCAATGTCTTTATAGCATAATTTCAAAGGCATACAACATATTCACTTAACTGTAAAGACCACAAATTACTTAACTAGGCTTCCACTATTGTACTGTCACATACTTCACAATGACAATTATACCTTAAGGCTCTGTAAACAAACAGATGACAAAACAATATTTAAGATTAAAAATAACATATAGAAATAAAACTTAATTCCTAATTTGCTTAATACTGCCAATAATAAACAAATAGTAATCAGTTTCATGGTCTTTAGGAAACAAAAGAATTCAATACAAAATAAAGTATCCCAATAACTATTATAACACCACAACCCTTTTATAAGCACTATCGAGCACACCGCTTTCATTCCTGCTGGAAACTGGTTAATATTAAAAACCCACAGTACCTGTTGACAGTGAATCACAACCATGATCAAAAAGTTCTCCCAAAGGAGAGCTGCTATTGGTTCTTCTGGCTTGTTTTCCATCGATGGCGTCCAAAGACTGGTAAATGAAAAGGCCACATGCACAAGCAAGATATGCCCACAGAGGTGCCTGCGGAGGAAGGGAAGGAGGGGAATTGAGATGCTGGCCACTGTTGACCACGTAACGCCTTTTCACCCGCAGCTATTTTATCTTCATTCTTCTGAGAGGTATTTAGACTGGATGCTTTGCAAGAGAAGACCCAAGAGCTACACCACAGAGACCTTTTTGAAACAATGAGAATTCTAAGAGAATTAAATACTCAGCCTTATGGGGTCCTCAAGCACATGCTGGTAAAGTACTTCACAAAGACATTACAAAAACCCCAGGAGACATTAGTCTAGGGCACTTCTACAAGACTCCTCCAAACATTTAGATTTAAGAGTCAATTAATGCCTAATTTAGTACAAGATATCCCAAATTGCATCTTTTGGGATATTTTCAAGTATTATATAGGGGGAAAATTCATTCCAAACTTAAGGGAGAAACAATAGGCTAAATAATGCTAAACAGATTTCTTTACTGCCAGACTTCTTCCAGTACTTAATAGCGCTAATGCATACTGTAACAAAGAGTGGGACATGAAGTGCTGCCATTTCTCAAAGCTAGTGAAACATGAGATATTCTATTTTTAAAATCTTACTGAATTTTTGGTTAAAGTCTACACAGTAAGTTAGGTTCCCATTTTAAAATTCCCCCCAAATTGTTCAGCCATGTTAGATGTACCACAGTGTGTCAAATGTTTTAACTGTGTTGGTTTGCTCCATTTCTAGGACTCTAGTTTCCCTAACATCTTGTCTTCTCGTCTTTGCTTTTGATTAATTACTGACCTTCTGGTCGCACAGTGAAGATTTTGAAAATAAAGCACCAATGTGTTATTTCACTCAAAGACCTAGCTTTAGTGTCTCAGAAAAGCCTTCTGTTCTCTATTGTTCCAGTTTGTCTAGCTTCTTGTTTACTTTTCTAAGTAGGAATCTGAGATGTGCTCCACATTGTTCTTCCATCTGTTCAGGGACATCTACAAAAACTCCTCACATATCAGCATGGTTAGGTTCCAAAGATCAGATTACTATGCAAAAATCCTCATTATGCAAAACAGAGGACTACATCATTATATAATTGCCAAATTTCATCATTACATAAACCACCCAATTACAGCATTACATAACTGCCAAGCCACTGAGAATCATGGCCTAGTGAAGTTGATACTAACTTTAACCAACACAGCCAGCATTACTCTTCTCTGGCATCTCATTCCTGCCAAACATGTGATTAATACATAGTTGTTGTTTTTTACTATGGTTGGTGTGTTAGCCAGGGTTCTCTAGAGAGATAAAACCAAATTTCTGATAATATATTTATTTATAAAGATAGATATATAACAAGAAATGAACTGTTAAATCATATACAGATAAATATATAATAAAAGAAATAAACAGTTAAATTATAAAGCACTACAAATGGCTCACTGCAACTCACTCCTGTGAGAGAGAGTTGTGAGAGACTAGCAGTCCTTCAAGTCTAGTCTGCTGCCAGATCTTCCTCTATTTATAGAGAGAGCTAGGCTATGTCAGCACAGCAGCCAATCACAAGGTAGGTCACCAAGTGCCAGCCAGGTCACCAACCGCCAGTCCCCAGCTCCAGAGATGCCTTAAAGGGACCACAACTTACAGCGACACAGTCCACAAGCTAGGCGTCCCACAGGTAGTGTAACCTTTAAACTGAGGCACAGAACAAGCAAGGCAGTCGCACACTGGTCCGATGATCAAAGAGCGAGAGACAAGAAAGATGAGGCTCACCAAGCCATTTATCTCTCTGCCCTTCAGTTAATCCCACTTGTGTTTATCGGCCAGGCTGGCACAGTTGGAAATAGAAAATGTCAAATAACAAGATACTCTGTGAGAAGTGTTACTGGAAACCCAGTCAGACCGGTCAGTGGTAAAAGACATCCACCATTTAGTTTTGGTCTCACGATAGATGAAGCCATGGCTTATGTAGATCAGTTTCTTCTCTGACCTTTTTTAGCTGCCTTCTTACTGTTTTGTTCCTGGTGAGTAGAGACCTGTAGTTGTCTCAGATGGCTGCTCATAAGCTTGTAAGACTTTAAAAGTCTACTCACTTCAAGGATTTTTGTGAACCAGGTTCTGCCAATTGACTGCATTGTCCCATAAGGCCAAGGACAGGACTTATTTTCAAACCTCTCTTCAAGGTTCCACAGGAAGAACACTCTGGGAAGTGATGTTCTAATACACACAGTGCTTAGGATATTATCTTTCAAACATGCACAGTCAGATATGTACAGCTGTTCAGGAACAGCTTCTCTTGCCTAGGCTAGAATTGAACTGCTGGCATGGCCTATAAATGTTGTACATTAAAAAAAGGAGAGCTTCAAGTGAAGCAAGATAAGCACAAAAGGACAAGTGCAACATGAGTCCACAGAGGTGAGCTTATAAACAAACAAACACACAACAACAAAAAACCGGGACATAGGGGAAAAGCTACTATACATTCATCCCTGGGGTGAGGTCCAGCAACTATAGCAGGGGCTAAACTCAATCCAGGGATACATATGGCAACCAACTAAGTAAGAGGGGGAAAGAAAGAAAAAAAGACATGGGTAGGGGGAGACGTGAATACAACATACCAGCATGTACCAGGAAACCAATAGGTCTGCGGGGCCGGCAGGAGAATGCACTTCAACGGATGCACTCAGGAGAATGCGCTTCAGAGGACAGCACTGGGGCTACAGCTTGGGGAGAGGGGCGCGTCGGATTAGAGCCCATGGAAGACACGAAAAGGGATGGAGAGGGAGGGGAGGACATCCTGGCCCACCAAGCCCCAAGGACGATGTTCCTGCTCAGAGCAGACAACGCACAGGGAGGACTGTAGGGCTGGCCCCACCATGCAACGTGGCATTCCTCACTGAACCATGGCGCTGCGACAGCAATGGGACAGCAATGGAGACACCGTGCGGGAATAGTGCACGGTCTGGCCCCATCACACTGGGCCGAGGCACTGAGGGCATGCAGCAGAGCAGCAGGGGGAGCAGACTGATGAAACTTTTGGGGAATACCAAAAATAAACTGGAGACAGTGTGACACCCCATCAGACTCGACTGGAAAACACACCAAAGGCCAACAAACAGACCTTGAACTATTTATAGACTTTTCCATGTTTGTCAATGGCTTTCTTTTTGTTATTTTGTTCTTGCTTTTCTGCTGTTATTGTTTTGCTGGTTTTGACTTCCTTTGTTGTTTTATTTGGCTTTGCCTGG